GCCTAATTGTGAGTGCTCTCTATGAACTCCCTCGAATGTGGTGCTTATCTACTTAGATGATATAATCGTAAATGAGAAGACCTTTGATAATGCTTATGGTGGGCTAAGGAAAGAGAACCTTAAGCTGAATCCCAAGAAGTGTGAATTGTTCAGTCAACATGTGAGTTTCCTAGGCCATATAGTCAACAAAAATGGTCTATATAGACTCATCTGAGTTTTAATCTGTATAGAATTAGCCAACATCAAAGAAATTGCATCAGATAAGAAAATATCTTGGACTATGAACTTACTATCGTTATTTTGTAAAAGCATTATCTGACACAGCTCATCCTCTATACAAATCACTTGAAAAATCAAATAAGTTTTTAGGCTGCTGATTATGAACAAGCATTCAACAAACTGGAAAAAAGAAATGACCATTACTCCTGTATTAATGTAGCCAACTCTTAATGATCCGCTAATTTTAGATACAGATGCCAGCAATTTTGCAGTGGGAGTAGTGTTATCACAAGTACAACATAAAAAATAACATGTGATTGCTTACTATAGCAAGGCAATAAATGCTGCAGAAAGGAGGCATTGTACTATCCAAAAAGAGCTACCAAGTGTTGTTTGAGCCTGATATAATTTCCATTTTTATCTATATGGGGAAAAGTTTACACATTGGATAGACGACGCAGTATTGAAGTGGTTGGTGCAGTTTTGCAACACAGAAGGCCAGAGAATGTAAACACTGTGAAAAGAGGGAAGTGCCAAATAGTAACTACGACCAGTCTAAAGTACAACAGACTATACTCCAAAGAGTGACACCCACAAACACTGATGAAGAAATAATGTGGTTCAATACTCAACTGAAATATGCTCAAGCAAAAGAAATTAGTTTGAAACCAATTATTCAGTGGATCAAGAATAGTGCAGAAAACCCTTCACGACAAACATTCGTTCCATGCAGCTCGAAGACAAAACTGTACTGGGCACAGTGTAATTCATCAAGCCTACAAGAGGGTTTGTTATGTAGGAAATGGCAAGATACGAGTGGAGAAAAACAACAATTGCAGTTGGTATTTTCAGAATCTTTACATTCCAAAGCACTCCATCTTCTTCACAGCCTTCGAACAGCTGGACACTTAGGTGTTAATAAAACAGTGTAGAGAGTAAGAGAGCAATTCTTTTTAGTCAGATGCCGAGGAGCTGTAGACAATTGGTGTAAATAATGTGAAGTATGCTGTAAACGAAAAGGTCCAGAAAAGAAGTAGCATAGTTAGCTACAATAGTGTTGTGCTCGAGTACCACTAGAAAGAGTTGCTGTCATGTGCTTAGTCTCCTCTGCCATGAATAACAGTGGGAGTAAATAAATCATGTTGTGGTAAACTATATCACCAAATTACCAGAAGGGTATACTGCTCCTAACCAGGAAGCAAAAACTCTAGTAGGGAACTTGTCAATAAATTTATTTTCAAGAATTGGAGTGCCTATGAAAGTTCACTCAAATCACGGATAAAACTTTGAATCAGCCTTGTTTGCAAATAACGTGTCAGATCCTGGAATCAAAAAGACCAGGAAAATAGACCTTCATCTATCTTCCAATGTCATGATGGAGAGGGATAAGCACAAATGAACATTTTTAAACCAGTTAGCCATTCATGTAGATGAACATAAGAAAACATGTGATCAAGATCTTCCACTACTATTTATAAGTAATTGAACAACATTATATGAAGCCATAGGCAACAAACCATCATCACTGATGTTTCGCAGAGGACTTAAAGTACTATTGGACCTTCTACACCAACATTCAGAAGATAGTCACTCAGCAGAGTCTTAGACATATTATGCAGAGAGACTAAGGAATACCATTAATGTAATACTTGCTTTACCTGAGATAGACTTAAATCGACTAATGATAAAATTAAAAGTCGTTATGCTGATAAAACTGGATTCCATTGAACGACAATATGAATATGAGTAATCAGTGAAAGAGAAATGATTGAAGCATTCAATGAGTAATAAGTGAGTTAGTTAAGTGCCAGTCAGTTAGTTAATTGTCGGAAGACTTATTCAGCATTAATAGTAAACATTATTACATCTTGGTTATGTGTTGTTTATCTGTCAAAGATAAACATTAGGTGTACATTTCTCACAGTTTACACTGAACTTGAAATTAAGATTATGTTTAGTTGTGTAGTTTATGTTGAAACGTTTAAGCATTTGAAATTAGGCCTACAAAGTGAATGTGGCTATAATACACCTTTACTAATAAATAAGTTACTTCATTATCACTATGGGGACTGGACTTGTCATTATTTTTATCAAATAATCCAAAAGAACCCTTCTAACGAAATAACACGTTAAATCATCTTTTATTTTAAACTTTTCATTTAATTTTAGGGTAGCCTACAAGTGAGAACACCCTGAACTGATGAAAGAAACGATTAAAAGAGTTTAACATATCTCTTGCAGTTCAACATCTCCACTAGACACACTTTTCCTTTTGTTTTGTTTTGTTTCAACTCTACGTTTGTGTTTCGTCTCTTTCTGTGCGATGAACACACTCAGTGTTCGGGAAGAAACACAAAATATTCTTTGTGATTCGATTTCCTTAAACCTCTGTTACGACAGCGGAAGTCACGCGTTTCTGGGAGCATGCGCACTGGAGTTTCTAGAAGGATCATGACTTATCGGG